GTTCAGATTATATAAAGCTATGTGAAAAAAAATGTAAAAACAAGTTCTGGACTGATGTTTTGAAAGCTTGTAAAAACTTGATCATGCAAATGAAACTAATATTAACAAAAATGAGGTATACTTGAAGACCCCTTATGGTTTAATGACAAAATTGTTATTGATAGAAGGTCAATTTCCATTAAGGATTGGTATAAAAAAGGAGTTATTAATATAAATTACCTGATTAAAGACTATAATTCTGGTTCCTTTTATACAGTTCAAGAATTCGCTCAAACTTATCAAATACAGACTAATTTTCTCCAACATCACAGTGTTCTTTCTGCAGTAAAACATTTCAACTCTAATCCAGATTTTCCTAAATTATAATTGTTATGTCCTTTTATTCCTGTACTCTTGGAACCATTCTTTCAAAACTCTAAAGGTTCCAAACATTTTTATAGTATCTTGGTAAAAAATAACATTGTTCCATCAGGACAGAAGAAATGGAATAGAGTCTTTGATTTTAGTAACTTTTCTTGGCATCAGATTTTTAAGCTTCCCTTTGCTATAACTACTAATACAAATTTTCTGTGGTTTCAGTATAGAATAAATCACCATATTCTGACAACAAATGTTTTCCTTTTTAAAACTCGAATAGTTGTACCTCCTATGTGTACACTTTGCAATTCTGAGATTGAAACTACTACCTATATTTTATGGGAATGTCAAGAGACTCAGAATCTTCTTCTTAGTTTTGAAACTCTTTTGGATGCACTCATTATTCCTTTTGATTTCAATAAAGAAACTTATTTATTTGGATTTCTTACACAAAATGTGAATGGTAGAATTGATAATGAAATACTCATTATAATTAAACAATATGTATATAAAATGCGTTGTCTTCATAGCTCCTTAAATATAAATGCATTGATTAACACAATAAAAGACTACCATAATATACAAAGATTTATAGCAAATATTAAAGGAGATACATATAGAGAGAAGTTTGAAAAGGAATGGACAAAATGGGAAAAACTTCTCGTTTTGTAAAAGTAATATTCTGATAGCTGTCTCCTGGGCTTTGAAATGAATTACACAATCAATAATGTTTTCTTCTATTTCATTTATTCATACATTCATAAGCTTGAGCTCAAAAATATAATGGTCCATCCCTATCCCCCCCNTCTCTCTCTCTCTCTCTCTCTCTCTCTCATTCCCAAGGAGATTTATAATTTGATTGGCTACGACATTTTGGGCTTCTTTTCAATTTCCATTAGACCGCGCTACCTTTTACGGCGTTGACTACAGCTGCTGGACACACTAATATGATGTGTATACATACTATATAATATAATATTGTATATATAATATGAATATACATCATATTAGTGTATGGAGCACCTGTGGCTCATAAGGTTGAACCGTTCTGTATAGGTGCAATCTAATGGAGACTAGACTTGTATTTCCAATCCACTTCGATACATCCAAATACAAGATCGTAGCGATCTACGGGAGCGGACGTATGATCAAACAAGTTTTAATACTATTGTGTGCAGGTGCTTTCTGACAGACGGAGATAATTTGTTTTGACTATCGTATTTAGCCGGCAATAGGTCCATGCCTGGTAATAAGCCCATCCATCCTTTTCAACGTTTTGATGCATGCAAATTTACGTATATATATATTATATATATATCCCTGCAAAAAGCATATCCCCAACTTTATTTATTCCACATTTCATAGTTCTCTCTTGGCTTGTTCAAGGATTTTAATGGAGATTTCTAGCAAATAATCTTCAATCCTCAAAACATAGTCCACCGCGTGTAATTGATATTATAGCTTTGATGGCTTTCAATCTTATGAAAAGTTTGTTAATCAAAAGATTGACTGCGCTAGGTGTTGCAGAAAAGTATACACAGTTCAAACTGTACCATTATATGTTATATAAGTTAAAGTTAATGGGTCAGAGCTATGTTCAGCTTTACATGTAGTTCGGGGAGAAAACTTATGACACTAAATAGTGCTACTCGGCTATATTACGAGCCCGTTTGGTTACAGCTATAATCGCTACGTTCATAAACCAAGAAGACATCTCTAATCCATTGCTACGATTGACATGAAGTGTACATCAAAATATGCCAAAATTACGAATTGATATGCGACGAGAAAGTTTCAATAATACGATTGCCACTGAAAGTATTGGTTGTAGAACTATGTCATTTTATTTGATATTCAGTAAAATCTATTAAAATTATTTGATGTATTTTTATTATTTAGAATAAGATACAATGTACAATTACTCTTTCTCTTATAACAATCTGTATAGTTGTCAAATAGCAAAAAAAATAGGATTGAATCAATACACGTGTATAGTATCACTTATTCTGAATCTACTTGAATATCAAACATTAGAAAGACTGGAAGCGTTTCCAACATACAACAGTATCATCAGAAAAAGACAGAGCTTACTGTCTCTCTCTAAAGTACCAGTTAACACAGGCTCTCTAGCATGCCTACTGAGGCAGGCTAAGCTGTACAAAAGAAACAACCAACATGTATCACGGGGATACACTTCGATCGAATACCGTTGCAAAATCCAGTAATATCCGACGGTTTTGGAGCTCTCACTAGTTTCCTCTCTTTTGGACTGTTGTTTGGTTTGGTTTGATTTTGTTTAATGTCAAATTGATAGCTAAGGTCATTTAAGGACTACGGTAATAAAGTAACATGCGGTCTGCAAATTTAGATGGACACACACAAAGCAATAAATAATAAAACTCAAGTACGGTATTTACAGAAGCTTGTCATCATTTATCTGCCACCCCAACCACTGCGTTTAGAGACATAATTCTTGAGATGTATTCCAAAAGCGCAATTAGTAGCCTTTGGAAACAGTTACTTTTCAGAAAAGGAGCAGACAGTTTGTGAAAAAAATGTGAAGACTTGTCTGTTTACATCAGCATTGTAATGCCATGTCGCCCTGTATACACACAGATATTAACGACAAGCATGCTAATTAGACGGTATTTATTAACTGATTTAAAGTATATGTATCTGTTATTCAAGAACAATTATTATATATCTACTGTACATCACTTTAAAGTATGTTGGCTGGTTATGTAAAGCCACATATGAATATTGCATATTATTAATCCTCCTTCAACTCGTAAGGACAATGAACGGGCTACGCGGCAGATGATATCGCTACACATGTGCGCCAGTTACCACTTGGATCTGCACGTGCATGTCCATGGCAGGGGAGCACCACTACGATATACAAAACTTCCGTTTTCCACTAGCAGGTTATCTGCCAAATACCACATCTGGTTTTGGTAATGGGTATCTTAGTTGGGACAATCTCTTTATTGATCTTGCAATAAGTGCATGAAGCCACTATATGAGGTATCTTAATTAGAAAAATTAATGTGAGGACCATGAAAAAGTTGGATGAGCATATATATCAGGTAAGTACCGGGTATTGCTCAATACATTAGTAACCAGTTTTCTCAGCCAATTAGAGGACATGATGGTCATTTTAGATTTTGAAGCAATACGACAATCCAAAACAGGACCTTTTATGACATTGAGAGCATCGTTCATATCGAGATTTTTTACTGCTGGCTTGGTGGAAGTTGACAAGAAGTTGAAAAAGTGTATGCAAATATGAGAACATGTGCCCATCTTTTATTGTAAATTGGTCTGAAAATGATAGAACCGAGCGCTGAAGGGAACATTTATATGAAATTTTGAAGAAATACATATATGTTAATTGGAAGATCGAATATGCCTTACACGATCAGAGGCCAAGGTGCAGGGCTATTTTTTTGATTTCAGGTAGGTTAGAAAATTGATGACAGATTATATTATTTATGAGACTTGTGCGCATCCATGCAATTATTTTGAAATAACCAAATATGGCTATTTAGCACTGTATTCTGTTAATATATAACCCATTATGATATACACATTTCTTTATCTGATGTTGCAACTAACACACATATTTTGGCGCTGACTTGAACGCCACAGGAATGTGCCTGCTAAATACGATGTGAGATAATGCATACAGGGATACTCCTAGAGGGGCCTATGGAATTATTGACCCGTCAAAACTGAAAAAAAATACTGTAGATTGCAGACATGTAATATCTTTAAATTTTGTTTACAAAGAGAAAATATGAAGAACTACTGAGTAATTCCTTGATCTAACATCTAACATGACGAGCCCCTATCGAATCTCGATCTAACCGTGCCTATTTTTTTGTATTCCCCCCCNTTTACTGACTCCCCTCCTAACCTTTCCATTTTGGAAATTGAACCTACCAACACTATATAGGGACTTCGAGGGACGTGATAGAAATGAATAAGATTGAAATAAGAATCAACATCCCTGAGGAGAAACTATTTCAAATTTCGTACAGTCAAAACCAGGAACAATCTTCCGAAAGACGTTGTATCCGCTACAAATATCAACCTTTTTAAGAACAGAATAGATAAATTTTGGCAGAGCCACGGAATTAGATTAGTTATCTAAGTCCGTGGCAGAACGAAGAGCTTTATTATAACTTTAGTGCAAATGTAATCAATAAAGAGCTTTCAATTCATATTATATAATTATTTAATTTTTGAATCAAGTGTAGAGGAGTTCTATCGGCTCCTGCATTGGAAACTAACTTTATCTTGTACATGTAGTCATTCTAAACCGCACTCTCACAGATTGCCTCGCACCTGTAAGATCGTACTTTTATATATCCTCCGTGACAGGTAAATATGTACAGTATATTTCTTCTAAATAAATTCACTCATAATGTAATTGTTTTCCTTTCGTCGTTTAATCTTACATTAATCACGGAATTAGACTAAGTCCGTACATTAATAATGTAAACATTATCTGTTTGACATCGATTTAGTAGAATTTTCTGTATTCTGAACATTAGTTGAGGGGGAGTAACTCGTACAAGAATTGTCGATTGCACAAGCGATATAGCTTTAGATATTTCGAGGTTTTGATTGGTTGACATTTTGCAGTGCGTATTCCCGCCATCTTCAGCTGATATCGCCGACCTCGCAAAACAAAAACAACGTGAGAGAAGAACGAAATCGACACTTTTTCTGTACAAATGTGGAACAACCAAGGAGGAGGTTAGCATCACATAAATAATGTTTATTTTAATGTATTCTGTACATGCTGAACTTCTTAAAGTTTATGTTTTGTTCGTATTTGTAAAAAGATTACCATTGCAGCGGATAGGTTCCCCCCTCCCTTCATCATGGTGTATGCTTTTCCTGCTTCTGTTGCTCCGTTGAAGGATTTGTGAGGGTGTTTGATAGCCATAGTCATGTATTTCGAATTTTGTTTTGTTTTACCACCCCTTAAAATAATCCGCACATCGCTGCGAAACTATATCTAGTTTGGAATATTACCGGTGTGTCTCCCTTTGTACTGAAAACCTTTAACTGTCGTTGCAGATATCTTGAGAGTATTTAGAAATCTAAATGTATATTGTGATATTAAAACTGAGTATACATACTCTTAAAGGTGAATCTAAACCCACTGTTGAGCAGTAAAATCTTCAATTAGTTGAAGATGGTCACTATATGGTAGAACTAGAACATGACGTTTATTACTATTTTACAAACTTAATGAAAATGAATATGCCATAAAACCTTTGTCTGATATTGTAGGCTACCAGCAAGGCAGCGGTGGAGGAGGTGGTGGATACATGTCCCCCGGGGGTTTTGGTACACCACAACCTTCTCAGGAAAAAAAGGTATAACCAAGCTATCAAATCTTGTCTGCACAGATGCTATGAGATCCTTCTAAACCATTTTTGTCATCAGTCCCGTCTATCCTTCCCAGAATGTTACACTGTACAATCTATGGTTGAGGGATTGACGTGAAGCCATATAAAAAAAATCTTGTTTCCGCTAACCTTACTTACCCTACTGTCCCTAGCTAAAGGATCAACGGTGAGGCCAAATACAAAAAATCTTGTTTCCATTAACCCTACCTACCCTAGATTTTTGTGCCTACCCTAAATGTTTTATTGGCATTAAGTGATATGTACTGTTAAAGTCAGAACTCCTGCTCTATATATTAAAAAAAAGCATTGCCTACCTACCAACCATATTTTTCTGAGGATGATAGCGGAAATATAAGTAATTATTTTTTGGCCTGATGGTCAGTCACTTTACACCCACAGACCAAGTTAACTTTCATTTGCTCTTCTGTTTCTTCATTCATACCAACATGGATGAACTGCTCTTCTCCTTAGTTTGACCTATTTACATTAACTATGTAGGGGAACCCCTACATCAGATACCCACAGGGAAGATGTTCAATCTTTGCACTCTGCATTATACCAACAAGTCTTCTTATTAAAATGTCTATTTGCTCTCATTTGCTTGGGCACTTATAAACTTCTAAATTTTAATAAAAAAAAAACTGTTGTAAAGATACTCTTGCATTCATTTTGTAAAAGCATGCCATAATTTACATTTCTGTTGCTATATTTGTCATGATCTATGAAAAAATATTGGAGTATAAGAAGTCAATTAAATGTTTTTCAGACAAAGGACCGTGCACACAACTTGCTCCCAGCTACAGTGGCAGAAATACTGAATGCAACACAAAACGAGGAAAAGTTCTTCACTGGTGATATCGAAGTATCACAGGTAATTTGATATTGTTGACTTGACTGAAAGTGACAGATGAACAAACACTTGTTGATTAATGCATTGGCGACAAATTCAGCGATCTTTGAAAGCCTTGAACTTAGGGTCCTAAAATGACCTAAGATGTTAATTGGATGTTTCACCATATCAAACCAAAGCCTTGAATTTAATAAATGAATATTGACAATGCAATGTTTCCGGATAAATTTCTGTTTCATTCCAAATTCTCAGTAATTGTTAAACCTTTATTGGTTTGGTTGTAGAATCGAACTTCAGATGTGATGAAGGTATAAGTTGATATTTCAAATCTGCAAAATATAGTTTTTGTTGTTGTAGGTAACAATCGTTGGGATTGTAAGGTCAGTCAAAGAGACTCCCACACGCATCGACTATGAGGTTGACGATATGACAGGGCCTCCATTTGAAGTAAAGCAGTTTGTTGACAACGATGTATGTAGCTCATGTTGGGATTATTCTCATACTTTCGTTTGATTCTCTATTATACTATTACTTTTAGAAAAAGTTTCTTTTTGCACAATTTTGATATTGAATAACATAATGTTATAAATTTCAGTGATACATCAGCAGTAAATAAAGTAGTGAACTCTAAGGTGTCACTTTGTATTGCACTGACCAACAAACTTGAAGAAATATCCTGATGATTCAAATGCTTTTGATAACCAAATATAATTTTAAGGAACAGAGGTTGATATTATTTCAAATTTAGAAGTTCTGAGAAGTCTTAAGACTGAAATGTCAACAAATGTATTGCAAATTCAGATCTATTGATAATAATACGTTTAATAAGGAATGAATGAATTATATTTTTTTTTATTAGTTTTGAAGTAAAACAAAGGTAATATGGGACAGACAAATGATTTCCTATTTAAACTTAAAATTATTATTATTCATATCATAAGGAAGAGTTATCCCCCTTTGTTATTTTCACTTGTACCTGCTGCTTTCCATTCAACAATTTATTACAGAGTCAAAAGTAATTTTCAAAACGAAATAATCAACAGGTTCAATGTTGAAGTGCTGTGGGTATCTGGTAGTATATAGATACTAAGAGGTTATATATAAATGTGTTTGGTATTATAGGAAGGCACACCTGATTCTGAGAGAGTTTCAGCAATGCAAGAAAACACATATGTCCGAGTCAGCGGGCATGTGCGGTCCTTCGGAGGGAAGAGAAGTGTGGTGGCATTCAGAATGACACCTCTCACAGACATGAACGAGTTAACATGTCATATGCTCGAAGTCATCCACAGCCACGCGGCATCAGCACAGGTATGTATTTATAATGTTAAATGGGCAGTAAATACTACGAAACTTAAGAAAAAAACAAAACTTTGATGTAACTGGCATAACATTTTAGTAACTGTACTTATACAAATGTGAAAACTTGTGTGTTGTTGTAAATAAATAATTTCATCTTGTCTTATTGTGTGCCTGAATTTTTGTTTTTATTTATTTATTTAATAGCAATCTTCAAATGCAATGAAGTCCAACAGTTTAAATAACAACACCACAATAGGGAGCGGAGATTCCTCAGGATTCAGTGTTGTTAATGGGTTGACTTCTACACAAAACCAGGTAATTTATACGAAAAGGGACCTTAGGAAAGCATGTGTTCTCTAACCTATTGGAGAAGATAAAGAGGTGAAATTTTGATTTGTAGACTCCTGATATGCGATAAACTTTTCCCAACTAATGAAAATAGCGATTTCAAAATAATCTAGATAAAACCATTGATGGCAAAGAAATTGAGCAGAAGCAAAATATTGTTGAACTATGTGTGATAATGATTTAAAATAATGTTTCACTTGAACAGGTACATACACTTATCAGGAATAATGTGACAGATCAGGGGGCCAATGTAGATCAGGTCTGTAAACAGCTGAGGGGTGTACCAGAGAAGGCCATCAGGTAAATAATACCCAACCATCAACTTTACTGTACAAGATATTACTGGATTACTTCCCCTTATCATAATACCATCATCTGGTATCAATGGTTCTTATGTAGTTGTTTCTCTAATTCAAAGCTACAAATGAAGTTTGAAAGAGAAATTAAAGACAACGTAAAACATTTCCCAATCTAGATATGTGAAAATTCTTGAAATTCCCAGTCAAAACTGCTGGAAGACCGCGGAAAGGAACATATTGATGAACAGGTATAATTATTTGGGAGGACAGCTTTTAAGGCTTTAGGCTTTACAGAAGCTTCTCTCTCTCGCTACCGACCAAAACGATTGTTACTTAATGTTAAATACTATTTTCTTGTTTACAGAGAAGCTATAGACTTCCTTAGCAGTGAAGGACACATATACTCCACAATAGATGAGGACCATTACAAGGCTACAGACAGTTGAAATCAATACAAGCACAGACTATTTACTGTCGGATGATGTGTGATAAAATGACTGGAAGCGGTGATACAAACATTTCTGGTCATTGATGAGAACTAGGACAACTTATAGTAACCACACGTTGTTAAGAGATCTGGTCTCTTGTTAATACAGACTAATACAGTTGTGATTTCTTTTGTATTCATCAGCAGTGCTTTCTGTTTTTTGAGTAGCAAAAGCATTACTTTTATAGGGAAGTGACAACAGAACTTTCTGCTAGCCCAGGTCAATGACAGTCTGCTCTCTAGCTGGCGTTGGCTAGCTACCATACCGTCAAGTGTTCTGAAAGTTGTTTATTTTCAAAAGTTATCATGTGACCAGATTTGTTACAGCATTTTATTATTGTTATAATTATAAGGATAGCATACTGTTACAATTCAATTGAGATATTCCATTTTTTTCAGATTCTATAGTTGTATCAAATAGAATAGGAAAACAAATTGTTGATTTAATGATGATTAAAAACAATTGAACATTTGTAACAATTCCATTCAAGTCCACATAATGGTTCAAGTAATGATCACTACAAATAAGGCCAATTAAAAACCAGAAAAAGATCATTGTACGATCCCCCTGTATTTGTATCCTGATTCCTTTGATTAGTACTAAATGAAGTGTAGTACCTTTTGAAAGTAGTGCTGTTATTTCTTGAAGAAATTTCTCAGTTTCAGTATGATTTACTTCTGACCTTGTTTGTCCTGGGAAAATAAATTCATGGCAGAACCATCCAAAAATTTAAAAAATAAAAAGTAAAAAAAATGTACCCATAATGGACACTGGTATTCACCAGTTGACAACGGAAAAGGAATGTGATGACTGAACAAAAGGGAGGAGCATTTACAAGGAATGTAACACGTAATAGGTTGAATACAGTACAGGAACTGTGATTTTAATAATTCTTACTGTAACACTGTCAGAACACTGCCATTACTGTTTTCTTTGATAGTTGGTTGTTACAGTCACTGAATGTAGTATCACCTGATCAATAACATGTCCCTTTTACACTTGCATGTTTGATATCATAGAAACCAATAACAGCAACTGTTCTGTGTGATTAATAAACTGGAAACTGTTTTCATGCAGTTGAAAATTATGTGTGAATACTTTTTAAATCAATCTTTTGTTTGAAAAAAACCCAGCTCCTTTTGTTACTGTATATAGTGAAAATTTAATAAATGTAAAAAAAATTGTTGAGATTTTGTTATTTCTTTTAATCTGTTTTTATGAATTTGAATGAATTGCAAAGTCTACCTTTCATTTTATCATGAACTTTTAGACTCGCTCCTATAGAAATGTGGCCATAAACAAGGGGTCGAACTTAGCATAAAACTTGTAATGCACAATTTTTCAAATTTATATCCTGGACAATGTTGTGTAGCATATTCCTGTTTGTTCTCTGAAAGTCATGGTAAGGGGTTAAAGGTCAAATGGTAATCCCTTTTATATTTCCTTGTCAAACAATCAAAGTCCCAGCCGTAATCAGATGAAGTGTTTACAGTTGCATACACAAACAGAGCATTATTTCATTGGATCATTGTACTAATATGATGTGTCACTTAAAAGAATATACCACTGCAATCGACATTGTCATCACCTCAATATATTTGAAGTAGGTATTTACAGAGCATATCTTCCTCATTATTTCACCAGAGATCATCCTTTTTGTATGCTTGTGAAGGGGGAATGTAGCATGTAAAAATTCAATGTGACTTTTATTTTGACTTTTGACGGTGCAACTTCTGTTTTTATCCCCCGCTTTCACCGAAACGGGGGGATATTAATTTGGGTTTGTCTGTCTGTCTGTCACGCTTTGTTTCTGTGCAATAACTACAACAAATGTTAACCGATTTTCTTCAAACTTGGTCACAGGGTTAAATTCCTTAAGGGCTCGGCCAAGTTTGATGACCCCATTTGGCGGAGTTATGGCCCCTTGGTTAACGAAAAACATCATTATCTGCAGTTTCCGCTTAATAACTAGCCAAATTCCTTCAAACTTGATGACAACATTTAATTTCAAAAGTATTTTATTGACAATACATATATAATACAAACATTTAAGTTAACATTAAAGAAGATATTAGAACAGTATTGACAAAAGAATAAGACAACGGGCTATGCCTTTATCAGTCTTTTATTTCCGGTAGCTATGTACGACAATGCTTAAATATATAAAATGTAATTCGTTTTTCTCTCACACACATGCACACCCACACCCACACCAGCTTATGTCTAATACTCATTATTTAAGGGACAAAATTTGCCTGAATAATAATAATAATAATAACAATACATGAATATTTATTTGGAATTTATTTAGCACGATAAGTAACGAAACGTTTTGATGATTTAATATAAAAGTCAACATGTATAAGAATAGTTTTTATTTAATTGGTCAGATGCATTACTAATACCATATAATAAACAGTGCAGATTTAAATATCCTAATAAATTAAAAATAGTGGTAATATGATGCCTAATATTTGAATACAGAGGACATTGAAAGAAAAAATGTATTGGATCTTCCCTCTGTGCACCACATACACAGGAAGCATCATCGATCAGATGGTCTTGTAACTTATCAAAGTTAAGATCACTTTTAAAACTTCTTAGCTGACATAAAATGATGTTAAGTTTCCTCGGAACACAGTTAATAAAAGTTTCTGAGACAGATGTATTAAAAAAAAAAATGTTTCTTTTTAAAAGATGAAATTGAGATAGAGTCTTGTACGGTGCTATCAAGTGTATTCCATTTTACCATTGTAGAAGGGAAGAAGCTATTCATATAAATAGTAGTTCTTGTCTGTGGTATATTAAAGAATCTGTTATTTCTGAAGGTATAGTTATTATTTACATTTAGAAATGGTTGAATGATATTATCATGATAAGTTGGAGTGTAATTATTAAGAATCTTATACATTAATGTTAGTTTATGGTTTTGTCTTCGTGTGTGTAATGTTTCAAGTTGTGTTTCAGTATACAGAATGTGATGAGATGTACCTCGTCTGAGGCCAGTAATTAAACGCATAGCTTCTAGTTGAACTGATTCTAAAAGATCTGATTCAGATTTGGTACAATTATCCCATACTATATCAGAATATTCTAACACAGGTCTTATATAAGAGACATATAAGGTTTTTAATGTATTCCTATCAACTGTAGTTTTTAAAATTCTAAGAATACTTAGCCTAGAGTAAGCTTTTTTATTAATATTTGAAATGTGATCTGCCCATGTCCCTTTACTGTTAAATGTTAGTCCTAAGTGAGTATGGTGTTCATGTTGTGTAATTGGAGTATTGTTAAATAGCAGTTGAGGATGATTGTTAATGTGTCTACGAGAGAAGTTAATAGCTACAGTCTTATTCGGATTGAATAGGATCTGCCATTGCTTTGACCATTCAGAGATTGATTCGAGATCATCATTAAGCATGTTAGTAGGTGGTGTAAGGTCATTATTATTATCTAACATAACATAGAGAGAGGTATCATCTGCAAAGAGTTTTATATGAGAGTTTCGTTGTTAGTAATATCATTAATAAAAAGAAGAAAGAGGAAGGGACCAAGGACAGATCCTTGAGGAACCACTGTAGAAATAGGTTTGGTACTAGATTTATAACCTGCAAAGATAACCCTTTGTTTTCTGTCAGATAAGTTAGCTTTAAACCAATCATATAATTTACCTTTAATACCATATGTTTTTAGTTTATATAATAGGCCCAAATGCCATACACGATCAAATGCTTTACTTATGTTACAGAAAACAAAGTGCAAATCTTTACCTTGGTCTAAATTACTATTTATAGTATTATAGATATCAGCTAGTTGATTAGTATAGTGGAGTCTTTGGGTTGAAATCCTGACTGATGTACACTTAACATATTGTCACTTAAAATATAATTAAACGTATATTTAAAAATATTTTTTTCTAACATTTTGATAAAAATAGATATAATAGCAATAGGTCTATAATTATTGAGATCACTGATATCTCCTTTACCTTTATAGAGAGCAGTAACATTAGCCGTTTTTAGTACATCAGGTATTACTCCAATAGATTAAGTTCTATTTAATAATAGTTTGAGTGGGTATACTAAAGAAGAAGAAATGTTCTTTACAATCATAGGTAAAATACCATCAGGACCAGCAGGTTTGTTTTTATTAAAAATGTCATATTGGTCAGTTATATCTTGTTCAGTTATGTTAATATTAGAAAGTTAAAATGGACATAAGGGAGGTAAGTCAGGTAGGTTAGTGTCAGTAATATCAGAGGCAATGGTGGTAAAGAAGTTATTTAGTGCTTCAGCTTTATCTTGTGGATGGATTAAAATTTTATTGTTAGATTTTAGAGGATAAGAATTAGTGCTAGTGTTAGTCATTTTTCCTATAGAATTTGCTATCTGCCACCATTTTCTTGGATGCAATGTTTTGTCAGCAAGACAATTTTTAAGTTTCTTAAAGTAATGTTCTTTGGATTGCCGAATAATTTTTATAGTGTCATTGCGACAAGTTCTAAATTTAGCCCAATCTTGTTCTCTATTTTTAGGTCACCTGAGCTTTGCTCAAGTGACCTATTCCAATCACTTTCCGTCCGTCGTCGTCCGTCGTCCGTCGTGCGTAAACTTTTACATAATCAACTTCTTCTCAAGAACCAGTGGATGGAATTTTTTTCAAACTTGGTCAGAATCATCCTTGGTAGATGAGAATACCAAATTGTAAAATTGGGATTCCTACCCCAACCCTAGCTGCCAGGGCGGGGCCCAAAAGGGAAAATTAACCAATATTTCAAAAATCTTCTACTCCAGACTCAGAGGTATTACAGTCATTTTCTCTGCATGGATGGAAAGATCATCAGGGGCTTTATTTAAATTGTAAATTGCAGGACCCCCGAGCTATCCGTTCTCCCTTGGGGAGGGGGTAAAGTTTACTATAGTTTATATAGGGAAACAACACTTTTGGGTATATTTTGACAATTTTCTGTTGGAAATTATTTTTACTTGGTCAGAATCATCCTTGGAGGAGGAAGATGGTTTTAAATTGTAAAATTGGGATTCCTACCCCAACCCTAGGGGCCAGGGCGGGGCCCAAAAGGGAAAATTAACCAATATTTCAAAAATCTTCTTCTCCAGACTCAGAGGTATTACAGTCATTTTCTCTGCATGGATGGAAAGATCATCAGGGGCTTTATTTAAATTGTAAATTTCAGGACCCCCGAGCTATCCGTTCTCCCTTGGGGAGGGGGTAAAGTTTACTATAGTTTATATAGGGAAACAACACTTTTGGGTATATTTTGACAATTTTCTGTTGGAAATTATTTTTACTTGGTCAGAATCATCCTTGGAGGAGGAAGATGGTTTTAAATTGTAAAATTGGGATTCCTACCCCAACCCTAGGGGCCAGGGCGGGGCCCAAAAGGGAAAATTAACCAATATTTCAAAAATCTTCTTCTCCAGACTCAGAGGTATTACAGTCATTTTCTCTGCATGGATGGAAAGATCATCAGGGGCTTTATTTAAATTGTAAATTTCAGGACCCCCGAGCTATCCGTTCTCCCTTGGGGAGGGGGTAAAGTTTACTATAGTTTATATAGGGAAACAACACTTTTGGGTATATTTTGACAATTTTCTGTTGGAAATTATTTTTACTTGGTCAGAATCATCCTTGGAGGAGGAAGATGGTTTTAAATTGTAAAATTGGGATTCCTACCCCAACCCTAGGGGCCAGGGCGGGGCCCAAAAGGGAAAATTAACCAATATTTCAAAAATCTTCTTCTCCAGACTCAGAGGTATTACAGTCATTTTCTCTGCATGGATGGAAAGATCATCAGGGGCTTTATTTAAATTGTAAATTTCAGGACCCCCGAGCTATCCGTTCTCCCTTGGGGAGGGGGTAAAGTTTACTATAGTTTATATAGGGAAATAACACTTTTGGGTATATATTTTATCCATTTTCAGCAGAAAATTACTCAAACTTAGTCAGAATCATCTTTGGTGAATGAGAGTATTACTTTGTAAAATTGGGATTCCTGCCCCATCCCCAGGGGCTAGGGCGGGGCCCCAAAGGGAACATTTACCAATATTTTCAAATTCTTATCCTTTGATGACATGACAAGTATTGTATTTCACTTAGTTTACATGCTGATTTCCACATCACATCTAAACAATAAAATAAAGCTACCAGTACCT